CTTTCCCTTTCCCTGCCCATGACAATGTTTATGTCATTCAAGAAAGCCAGGATCTCATTCAGTATGTTCAAATGTAAGTCAAGGAACAAACACTGAACTGTTTTCTTTCCTCCCCATTTGTCCTTTGCAGAGGAACTCCAGAGAGAAAAGGGTGAGTTGGCCTACATTCTTGGATAGTGACACAGCAAATGTCAGATCTCTTCCTCTCCTCCAACAGTTTCTAAGAGATCCGTTTGCAGCAGAGATGCCCCCATTGCACTGCCCATAGTCTGGAAAGGGGCGATTCTCTAGGTGACTCTGGAATTGTGCTATGTCAGGGAGGTGAAATCTCTCAGCAGCTTACACAGGAAGTCAGAGGGGGAGAGGTGCAAGAAGGGCATGGAAGGGAAAATACTCCCATGTTCCAGGAACTCAACATGTCTGCTTAATGAAAAGGTTCTGGGGTATGAGGAAGGACAGAGCTGACACTGTTGTGGTACTGTAATAACAGAGCCCTCGCAGACGCTCCACCTCCTACCTCAGGAACGGAGGCAGAATAGACTTTCCCAATAGACTTCCATAAAAATGGGAAACCACGTGTTGTGCAGGGCTTCCAGAGGGGGCTCTGCAGCCATCACCGTGCAAGGGAAGTAACGATAGACATACTAGAACATTTACTAGAGCAGGGAAATAGAACCAAGTTCTTCTGGGTTTTCCCCCACTCAACAGATTTTTAGATCAAGACCAGAGATGAGATTTGGCATGGCAATTTGTGTAATTTTTTTCAAAAGGGGAAAGGAGAAAATAGTTCCATTCGGTGATGTCAAAGCAGAATAGAGGTTTCAGGGGAAAAAAATATTACTGAATTCAAGATTTGACCCTTCATTCAGTGGAGTAGACTGAATTGGCCACATTTCCAGTGGCTCCGAATTTGATCCTGACCTACTGGGATCAAATCTGATAACAATGAAGAGCATATTTTGAGACGTGTTACTTCTTGAAGCCCTATTCAAGGAAGAGAAGGGTCATTTTATCAGTGAGGGAAGCTGGGCAGGAAGGATTTCTTTGACTGCTGCCAGGGAAGTGAGTTTTGTCATTGGTCTGAGGAGAGTCTGCCTGGGGTGAGAGACCGGGACAGTTGAGAGGAAAGAAATGTTCATTAACCAACTATTCTGCCAAAACAAGGACAAACCAGCTGACACAAAGAGACATGTCCAGTTTGGTAAAGCAGTGGGTAGATGGCCAGGGAGCTTTTGCTTTGCTTTCTCACTGTGCTTTTATCAGAGAAATGTCGAACGGCTAATTCCAGATTGCACCATGTGGCCGTCGATAGATGTTAATCGACTCTTTGGGATTTAACACACTCCCCAAAGGGTGAAGCCTTGATAGAGAAGGGCCGGGGCATCCCCTTGCGTGGGAATCCCTTCTGGGAATTGAAAGGAATGTTCATTCCTTGCTCTGTGGCTGAGCGGGGAGCTCCCTTCACACAGCAGAGCGTAGAGCACCCGGGAATGCTCAGAGCAACAATATCTCTGCCAGAGGCCAGGCCAGACACCATGTGCTGGCGTTCTGTGCCTATCTGCAACGAGAGAGTTCTATTCTCCCTGCCCCTGGCAGCAGAGCACTGAAGGCGCTGTCCCCTTCCATGCCTAGAAACTCCAGGAGATGCAGTCAACACCTGGTGGTACTACGCTAGCAGGAGGTCCCCACAAGCCCACTCAACATTGCTGACATGTGGTTGAACTTCTCTGTGATAGTAATTGGTGGAATTTCTGTCTCAGTAAAGTCGTAGGCACTTGGCTATTGTAGCTCTGCATTCAACATGAAAGAAAACGTACATGAGAAAACATTGACCGTTGTGCGTGCAAATGCAACATCATTCCTTAACTAAATATTATCAAGACTCCTTCAAGCGCTGACACCCATTTTAGATTTGTGCCCTGTGGACTTCTTTTCCATTTAATTGTGACCGGGAAGGTTCTTGCCAACATTGTTAAACATGTCGGGGGCCTAATCTCTGGTCTAGTCTTCTGTGTAGAGGAATGGGCAAGTGATTAACCTCATAGAATGACTAGATGGCAAAGGCTCTTTCCTCCTTCCCATCATGGTAAATAGTTGTGGTAGTCAAGGAATAAAGCTTGTCCTTCTCACTCTACAGCTGGCTAATA